GTAATCGATTCCCCTTGGTCAGGAGTCGTTTATAAGCTCTCGATCAACAGATAAGTCTATTTTTTAAAAACACGAAAAAAAATGTAGAGGTATAATAATAATTTTGACTGCCTCGTTGGCCGAGTGGTCGCAAGTGCGACTGCCAGGCAAGGGGTCTCGGGTTCGATTCCCGGTCGGGCAAAGTAATACTGGGTTTTTAAAAAATTCTCAGTAGTAGCACGGAGTCTGGAATATGGCAATAGACTCACCCCCTATTACATGGGACTCATAACATAAATAGTGAAAAGTGGGTGTTACATTGTACAGTGGCATTATGTGCACCTCTGTCTACCCCTTCAGGAATAAAAGGCGTGATGTTATTTATGTTTGTATGTTAATATCCTTACTATTTAATATTATAAATCGGAAAGTGAGTTTGTTTGTTTGTTCCGCCTTCACGCCGTAACTACTAAACCGATTGCTTTGAATTTTTACAGACGTAAAGTTAGAAGTCCGGATTAAATAATAGGGTACTTTTTATCCCGGAAAAACTTCATATTCCCGAGGGAAAACAAAAGTAATGGTATAGATGGCGCTGTATGTATTTGTATATGTCACATAGGCTACTTTTTATCCTTTTGTGACGCGAGCGAAGCCGCGGGTAAAAACTAGTTTATTTATAGCTTTTTACCAGTTATGTTATTCGTATTACGCAGTCCCTGTTTTGAATAACAACTAAACAACGAACAACCCAACGATTGTAATGTATTAAAATAACGAAATTACGTAAAAGTGACTCAATCGGCATGCTTCAGAAATTACAGCCCCTAGCTAGTATATAGAAAGAAAGAAAGAAAGAAAAATTGTTTATTTGCACACAAACGTCACGTCATAAAGTACAAAAACACACACAAACAAACAGTGAAGACGGTGCAAAAAGGCCAGAGCTCAACTTAAATGCCGTGATATGATATACTTAAATATGATGACATTTTTTAATCTGTTCACACCCTGTCTATAAAGGATTGATTAACATAAAAACATCAACCAATTGGTGTTTCTTTTTTTTTAAGGGGGGAAACTCATCGAATGTCTGCTCCCGCCTGGGTGAGGCGGAAGGGAGTGTCAGACTCTTACTGACTAAAAACCACCCCGTTCCTTCTCCTGCACGTCGAGCCGGAGCCCCGGTTACCCGTTAGGTTCTCCGCGACAACCAATTGGTGTATACATCTGTTGTTCTAAGCTATTTGCGTTGCTTAAATCATGTTTAAAGATTATTTAGACACCACTGACAAACGGTGAAGGCAAATATGGTGAAGAAACCTGGACTTATAAATTCTAATTATAAGTTTGAAATCGCCCACCCGCATTGAGCATGCGTAGTGAGTAATGCTTGTCGTGGTGGCCCGGAGGTAAGACGCCCGCTTCTCATGTATGGGGGTGCGAGTTCGAAACCTACCAACGGCAAGTACCAATGCGACTTTTTCCGAGTTATATGTACTATCTAAGATAATTTAGACACCACTGACAAACTGTGAAGTAAAACATGGTGAGGAAACCTGGGCTTATAATTTGTAATTATGTTTTAAAATAAAGTTTGAAATCGCCAACCCGCATTGAGCAAGCGTGGTGATTAATGCTCAAACTTTCTCCGTGTGAGAAGAGGCCTTTGGTCAGCAGTGGACATTTATAGGCTGTTGATGATGATGATGAAAGCATGTTTATATACGACTTCATTTAGAAGAAATAAATGACGTCTGGTATCTGAAATTACTAGATTAGTGGTAGTAATAAAAACGCTTTAAAAATCGTGAGAAGTTATCTAAAACTCGCGGGTAACTCACGTGAATATACTGAGAAAAGCTCTACTAGTTTCGAACCACACAGGGGTTCTTCCTCATGAGCAGCGTGCGCGGTCTACTGGGGCTGTACAGTATACAGTATTCAGTAACCCGCGAGTTTTAGTTAATTTAGTATGTGTCACGATAGTTTTTATAAAAACATCTTGAGAAGTGCTCTTATTTTTACCACTTTTGCTTAAAGACAACGCAGTCTAAAGTTATTACCTATTATTTGTTTTCAACCATGATCGTCCCACTGCAAGGCAATCCTCCGTACCCTCCTTCCACTCCTCTCTACGTAAAGCTTTTTGCCTTTGTTGTCTAGTGTAAGCTTAATTAAGTAAAATCGCGGGTTACTCACGTGAATATATTGAAAAAAGCTCTACTAGTTTCGAACCACAGAGGGGCCCTTCCTCACGAGCCGCCAGTGCGGTCGCGGCGACGTCGCGCAACTCACTGGGTATATTCACGTGAGTAACCCGCGATTTTACTTAATTTAGTAGGTATGTCTCACGATAGTTATTATAAAAACATAAAGTAAGCTTCTATATAATTAAAAATGAATATCCGTTCGTTAGTCTCACTAAAACTCGAGTATGGCTGAACCTATTTAGCTGATTTTAGTCTTGAAATGTTCGTGGAAATCCAGGGAAGGTTTAAAAAGTTAGAAAAAATTTTTGGCGGTTCGAAGTACGCCTGGACAGCTAGTCTTTACTAAAAAAATACTTGAGTAGAGGTATTTTTTCTAAAAGACAAGTCCACCACAACTACTATCAGAGACATTGTAGAACATACTTTTTTAAAAAGAGTAACGAATGGAGTTTCTTGCTCGTTCTTCTCCATTCGAATCTACATTTTGGAATGAGCACCTAGCTTCACCTAGCTTCACTGACGGACTGATTGACAGACTATTATTTATTTTGTATTTGTTGACGTTTCAAAAGTACCAAACTATGGTTTAATTGAAATACACCAAACACAATAATTTAGGCACGTCACTGACCACAAAATATGTCTTATGTCGTTATTTTTTAAAGTTCATCATAATCATCATAACATCACTCTACCTTTCCTTTTATTCTCGAAGGGGTAGTCAGAGGTGCACATTATACCCCTGTACAATGTAACACCCACTATTCACTATTCATGTTGTGAGTCCCATGTAATAGGGGGTGAGCCTATTGCCATATACCGGGCACAGTTCCAGACTCCGTGCTACTACTGAGAATTTTTTTAAAAACCCAGTAATACTTTCCCCGACCCGGGAATCGAATCCGAGACCCCTTACCCGGCAGTCGCAATTGCGACCACTCGGCCAACGAGGCAGCATTTTTTTAAAGTTATGGATACCATTGATGATTCAGATACACAAATGCTCTAGCATAAATTCTGCTTAACGAAATGCTAATAATAATTAATTATTATTTTGAAGGCATACAATGTTTTAAAGCCGCGTCATTTTCTAGGAGGTAACTCGGCTATCGATTCTGAGTCCGAATCAATAAAAAAAATTGTAGGTAAATATTTTACATTTTTCTGTAAATTACAGAAATCCGTAAGTGCGAACTACACGCCGCCGTCTTGTAACTAGCTTTATAACGCGGCTCAACACACACAAACTCAAACACGTAATTGATATTATTCCTTATTCCATAAAACTCCAATGAGAAACATTGCTGTCGCTTATTCTGAAATACTGTCGAACTTAAACGATTTATTATAGCCATATTTTTAAATATTGGCCCGAAACTTTCTCTTACATTAAACCTTTATGACTTCTGTGACAAGCCCCCGAGAAATGTCACGGTTTCAAAACTACACCTTGTATGTAGGAATAAAATATTTCTTTAGAAAGAAAAATGCCACGTCACATTCCAACGTCTCAGGGACATGAACAACTGTCCCTAGCAACGAAATAAATCAGAAGATAAGATAAGAAGAAAAATCTATAGTTTCGACTTCCTTAGGTAAATTTAATACACGACCATTCAGGTATTCACAAATAAGTCTATAATAAATAAGTATGTAAATTCGTTTATCATTTTAAAAACTTTATGTCTGTAACTTTTTTCTTTTTTTTAATGTATACTACTAATTTGACACCTTTAAAAACAGTGCCTTTTCGTATATTATTGTTTTATGGAACTCTAGGTCTGTATGTATCACATTGTATTTTTATAATTTTATTTGTAAGAGACTGTTTGTTTCCTGAATATAGAAAAAAAAATTCTACGCCTGTTAGATTTCTATGCGGAGAACCTGTAAGACCTAGATATACAGCCAGGGAGCAATGTCCTATAAACTAGGTCAATGCGCATAATGCATTTGCGAACCATGTAAAAAAACATTGACATTTCAATTAAATGAAATATTCTTCTATAAAATCAAGACAATTTTTAGGCAAATGAGCAGACGGATCACCTGATGGTAAGCGATCAGCGCAGTCCATGGACACCCGCAACACCAGAGGAGTCACAGGTGCATTGCCGACCTTTTAAAAAGGAATACGCTCTTCTTGAAGGTTTAAAGGTCGTATCGGTTCGGAAATACTACCGACGAATCATTCCACAGTTTAAAAAATATTTAAAATGAAAAAAAAAAAATTTTATCGCGCAATACCAACGGACATGCCTTTGCTTAAAAGAAAAATAATACCAGTTTTCAAATGATAATCAGTATTCCGTGGCAGTCCACTGCTGCACTATGAGTCTTCTCTACATAAAGAGGGTTTGTCATAATCTCCTCAGGCAGGCGGGTTGGAGATCGCAGTATAAAAGGTTCAGGTTTATCAGAGAGCGCTGCTGCACGGTCTCATATCTAGTCCCTCAGTTGGGGATTACGACACCTCCGGGAAGAATAACAATGATGAGATATGTACTCTACACTGTCGTCACCAAAAAACTATAAATAAATCATCAGTCCCGATTTGACATTTTGTTAAATAAAGTTAATGGGGCATTAAAATTAGGGAGAAATGCTATTTTGTGCAACACTTTAAAGACTCATTAATATTTAAGGTCACTTTAAAAATTTAATGAGCGTTTCTGCAACTGACTGTAAGATATGTTAAAATTAAAAAACATATCTGTGGCGCAATACCAGCTGACATTACAGGCAGAATTGCAATATCTTTGCCTAAAAAAACACACATTAAAATTTATGATTATTAAAAAAACTTACCTGGCTGAAATGGAACTCTCTGGGCAGCGACATTTTTTTTGTTTTTTAATATCAGGAGGTAAAGATATATAGTTAAAATGATCTTCGGATTCTGTACAAACTAATTTGAAAGCACTTTTTTCAACGGCATTAGCCGCTGTATACATTTGTTTAAAATTACCAAAATCTTTAAAAGACGCCGTCGTAACTGATTTCAAAAACTTCTCGATAAAAAAATTCTTTTATAATATTAATATTAATTAATCACTGTTTTTTTTTTCTTAAGAACACCGATTTGTTATTAAAAAATTATTACGGCTGTACGACCGACATATTTGTTGTCGAATTAAAAAATGTGACGTTATTATGACAGATTCGAAGTATAGAATTTAAAAATTTGGTTATTTTGTTATTTTTCCGTAAAAATTGTAACTGTTTCGGATGTGGTGGATGTATAACTAATTCAGTTATGATGTTTCGAGTCTGCGCGGTGAAGAAATCGATAAATTGAATGAATTGAATGAAACTGTCACGTTCATTCGTTCGTTCGTTGACTTATTGAACGATGTTGCTAGTCAAAAAATAATATACATATCGTTCTTCCGAATTTTTTATTATTAGATTCGGTGTGGACGTAATCTTATATATATAAAAGAAAGTCGTGTTAGTTACACTATGTATAACTCAAGAATGGCTAAATCGATTCGGATAAAAATTGGTGGGGAGGTAGCTTAGAGCCAGGAGACGGACATAGGATACTTTTTACCCAATCCTTTTTTTTTACTTTTTACCGAAAATCAAGAACGGGAACGGGAAATATCGGGATTGCGCGTACGAAGTCGCGGGCAGAAGCTAGTTTAAGATACATTACAATTTATACTTCACCCAACCTGGGAATCGAACTCGAAACCTCTTTCTTGGCATCGCACTTGCGATCATATTCGACGCACGAAACTGTATAGATATATAGAAATAGTTTTAATACTGTTATGTACCAAACTGTTGAACTAAAAAATAAGTAGACTATGATGGCGTCATTAGAAGTGCCACCCACGGTATAACTTGCCACTTACCCTTCTCTACGACGTAGCAATTTTTTTTTTTATGGGACATGCCCGCCACAACCTCCCAAAACCGCTGCAACTCCTGTGCACCAGGATCTACAGTAGATACAACCATGAAAACATCGGAACACTGAAGTCCAACGTCACAGGGACATGAGTAACTGTCTTGGTTCCCGCAACGAAGTGAATCAGAAGATATTATAAGTGGAGAAGAAAAACGACGGCGTAGGAAATGCTTCCTCTATTTGGTACAGGGCAGCGTAGCAACTCCTTCTACGATGACGTAGCCACTGTCTATGTGCTACTACGTAGTAATATTCCCATGCTTCAGTAAAGCCACTATCACCTACGGCGTAGCAACTTTTACTTGCTACTCTCCACTACGGCGTAGCGTTTTTCTATTACCTACGGCGTAGCAACTTTTACATTTCGCTACGGCGTAGCTGCTTATTATGTCATACGGCGTAGCAACTTTTACATTTTGCTAAAGCGTACCTGCTTATTATTTCTTACGGCGTAGCAACTTTGACTTGCTACACTATCCACTATGGCGTAGTAATTATTTATAACTAGCTTCTGCCCGCGACTTCGTACGCGCAATCCCATTTTCCCCCCGTTCCCGTTCGTGATTTTTGGTAAAAGTAAAAAAAAATATTAGATAAAAAGTATCCTATATCCGTCTCTTGGTTCTAATCTACCTCCCCATCATTTGTCATCCAAATCGATTTAGTCGTTCTTGAGGTATAAATAGTGTAACTAACACGACTTTTTTTTTTTAAAATGCACTTACTGGCTTACAGTGGGTACCAACACGCCAGTAAGCTAGTTAATTAAAATAAGAAAAAAATATGTCATAAAAATAATAAAAATAGAATACAATACAAATAAATAATGTCAAATTAATAAATGTCAAATATTTTAGTACATGTCCAAATACACAAAATCTAGGATATTGTATATTAAATCTACAAATAAAAAGAATCAATATGTCAATATCTCTACAATAGAAATAACTGTGAAGAGCCTTAATAATTAAGAAGTAACAACTCATATTTACGAATATCAAGTCACACATTTAGGTCGAAAGGTCATCATTATTGAATAGCGTTAAATAATTTATTGACAAATGTTTCAGTTTTAGAACATAGTTTTTTAAAGTGGTCAGCAAATATATCGATATCATTGTCATGAGCGATCATATCCCCAACAAGGCCCAATGCGCGAACAGTAGGTGCTTGTGACGCATAGTTGGTGCGCGTTTGAGGCGACCACAAAAGGCGAGGCCGACGCCTCAGCGCAACTGGGATTGCTCATTCCACTCTAGTCGTTTGGGAACAAGTAATCTCACCATGTCTAGCACTACAGGGTTGTCTACTTTGTGGTGCATTATTGACAGATAGTGCAATATTGTTTGCAACACCCTCCTGAACTTGAGAGTCTCCAGATCAACCATACCAGCTACAAATGAAGAAGGGTATAAGTAAGGATAGTAGCCATACCTTTTCTTATATAACCATCGTGCGAATTTACGTTGTACCCTTTCAAGCATAATATTGTATTTCTCCTCAGATGGAGCCCAGACTATGACACCATACTCAAGTTTGGCACGTATGTAGGCATTATAGAGAATGACACTCCCTTCCGCCTCACCCAGGCGGGAGCAGTCATTCGATGATTTTCCCCCCTTAAAAAAAAAAAAAAAAAAAAGGCATTATAGAGAATAGTAGCAACACCTAAATTATCAAACTCAGATGACGTACGCATGACAAATCCAAGCATTTTGTTTGCCACCTTACATATTGCCGTCACATGGTCCCGGAAGTCAAGTCTAGAGTCCAACCGAAGACCCAGGTCACGAATATCTGTTACCCTTTGAAGGGCAGCGTCGAATAAAGTATAAGGTGTATTAATCAGCTGGCGTTTACGCGAGAAGGAGATTATTTTGCATTTATCGATATTAAATGGAAGACGGTTTTCACTGCTCCAGTCTCCTACCGCGTCTATGTCCCTTTGCAGAGCTTCGCAATCTGTTGATGTCCCTACACCCAGACTAAGCTTGAGGTCATCAGCAAATAGCAGACATTTGGAAAGACCAACACGCTGAGGAAGGTCATTGATAAAAATCAGGAAAAGTAAGGGCCCTAAGGTGCTACCCTGGCTCACTCCGGATCGAGTGTAATAATCATTAGATTCAAAATGTCTAACCTTAACGAATTGGCGCCGATTACAGAGGTAACTTGAGAAAAACTCAAGCAGCCCTGGAGAAAAGCCCATTACCGCCAACTTATACCTTATCTTAGCCTTTTTAAAATCAAAATAGGCGGTATCCACCTGCCTACCCGCATCCATTTCAGCATAAATGTAGTCTACGTGAGCCACAAGATTTGTAGTTGTTGAACGAGCGTTTCTAAATCCGTGCTGGCTATCATGTAGGAGATTTTTCACTTGTTTATTGATGCGTGAACACAACACTTTTAAATACACCGTGATATTTTAATGGTTGTTTTCCCGCAGCAGAACGATTTCCCTTTAGTAGTACTATCGAATAACGCAAGTTACTTTTTGAAAAAAAAAATTTTTTTCTCCTCATCTACTCAAAAAAATAATCGTCAACTCGAAAGCATGAGAAACGATAGTTTCTCTTCTAAAATGTGACGTCCAATCAATGTTCATAGTAAAATAATCTCTCGTACTTAGTAATACAGCATAAACTACAATGCACCACGCGCGCGCGAGCGGATCGCCTCACGAAGTCACGACAAACAACAAAGGCAACCACCGCGCTCTCTGTCACTCGCATTGGTTCGCACCGGCTCGCATGGCTTTCATTCGCACCAGTCGCACCGCGGACGCCGTCCGTGCAACCGCGTAAGCGCAGTACAATATTGTTGCCGCCAAAATGGATCGCCATTAGGTTTTTTCTAACGTGGAGTACGTAGCTATGGTGCAATTGTACACGAGGGCAAATTATGATTCGCATGCCGCCCGTCGAGTTTATGAGGAGCCGCGGCACATGGAGTCACTTCGTCTTCGCGGCTTCATTTTGTGACAGGACACTTAACTGGTGAAACGTACCTACAAATGCTACGTAGTGTTATCCCGGACTTACTAGATGACATTCCGTTAGCAGTGCCCATGGATGGCCTGTATTACCAGCACGATGGTTGCCCTGCGCATTATCAGCGCGCCGTGCGAGAGCACCTCGACTCGGTGTTTCCCCAGCGCTGGATCGGTCGTGGCGGGCCAGTGCCATGGCCACCACGAAGTCCGGATCTTACTCCACTAGACTTTTATTTGTGGTCTAATCTCAAACGCCTTGTGTATCGGCAAGAATACAAAACTCGCGACGCGTTAAAAAGTGCGATAGTGGACGCTTTTGATGTGATTAGACGTGACAGAGACACATTATTAAAATTGAAAGCCAATCAGTTAAAACGTGCACGATTGTGTGTGGAACGCGGTGGCTTACACTTTGAACAATTGCTCCGTTACCGGGAAGTGTAAGTACTTGTACATTTGTAAATAAAACAATAAGTTGTGTGATTAAAATCATTGTAAATACGTTGATTCCCATTTTTTAAATACGCCTTAAATACTTTGCCAAATTCAGTAATAAACAAGATAATATCTCTTGATTAAATTTTGTTTATGTTTGTGTTTAGTAAGTGTAGTTAAAAAGTATTTACGACGGTCCCAAGCCCGTTAAAGTATGAAGGGAAAATGGAAATCACTTGTTAGTAAATACTGAGTTTTCAGCCTTTTGATAAGCGCGAGCGATAATGACAGCGGCCAGTGGCCGGTCGCGGCGGTACTATTGGTTCGCGGTTTATTTCAAGTTTCGTGTATCACTATCGTAAAACTGCTATTTTTTTATTTAAATTAAAAACAACTTTCTCAATCTATTGTACTACTAAGATAGAATCATTTTACTGTGGGAAAACAACCATTAAAATATCACGGTGTATATAGATATGCTAACTTCGTTACAGC